CTGCGCCCTCCCCCGCCTTCCAGCAACGTCGGGGGGTGGTGAGGGGAGAAGGCTGTGGAGGCGAGGTGGAGGGAGGAGGAGAGGAATTTCAGACGATCTGTAGGCCTCTTGCGACCCAGCTGAGGAGGGCACCTCTGCCCTCCCCAAAACCCACCTCAGGACTCAGCCGAGACCAGCACGTCTGCTTTCTGCCTGAGGCAGCTGCTGGGAGGGAGAGCCCTGCCCAGACCCCTCCAGCCTCCTGTCCCAGACCCCTCCAGTCCACTGTCCCAGATCTCTCTAGTCTCCTGCTCCAGAACCGCTACAGACCCCTGTCCCAGACCCCTCACAGCTGATTCACCCAGACCCCTCCACTCCCACCTCCGTTCGGAGATCCCTAGGCCTAGTCTCCAAGGGTCAGAGAAGAGAGAAGAGACCAAATCGAGGGTAAGGACAGGCCTCTGAGTCCCAGGCTGGGGCCCAGGTCTGTCCTTGCTGAAGTTTGGAACAGCGAGGAGAAAGTTCTCCCGGTTTCGGACCCCACTGCTAGCAAAAGGATCGCTGGGAAGTCATCCTGCTTCGGCAAGGAGCACGTAGCCCTTTATCTGTGAGGGCTTCTTCCTGTCCTAATGTATGCTGTCTTGGGGACTTGGGGACCTGGCCTCCAAACAGGGAATTTACAGAATGGAGATCTGGTTGCTAGGCCCCTCTAAGGCAGCTAACGTCCTGTGCTCCTCCCGCCCATGTCCTGGTTCTGGCAGGGCTGGGCCTGGCCCCTTTCCCTCTGCCCAGTGTGAATGCGTCCCCACAGAGGCTTAGGTTGGGTGTGGGTGAGATGGGGCCAAGGGCTGACTCCAGCCTGTCTCTCTGTGCTGAGAGAAGCTGGCCTCCTGTCTGCCCCCTTCTCAGCCCCCTCCCCAAAGAAGGCCCCCACAGTTCTATGGGCATCAGAGTTGCCCCCCACCCCAAACCTTGGCAGGAGCCATTTTCCCTCCCTAGAATTCTTTCTCTTCTCCTCTCTGCCCATCTAAACGGCGCTCTAGCTAAAGTGTCACCTCTCCTAGCCTTTTTGTCATTATCAGGGCCACTGCTCCAGAGTGCCTGCAGTGAGGTTAGGGGTGAGGGGTGTGCTTCACCGAGCAATTTTGGATGTCAGCACATGGCCAATAAGTCAGCAAGATATCCAATCAGCAGCCTCCACTGGAGGCTGTCAGAGTGTGTGTATCTGTTGATGTGTCTGTGCTTATGTCTTTGTGTGAGTGTGTCTTTGTTTATACACACTGTGTGTATGTTTATCTGTGTCCATACATGAGTGTGTCTTTTGGGATGTCTGTGTGACTGTTTGTATGTGTCTATGTGTGTCTGTGTATATTATATACGTGTGTCTTTATGTTTGTATTTGTCTGTGTGACAGTTCGGGGGCTGGCAGGCCTTCATGTCATTCCAGAGTTTGAGCAAAGCTGGGGAGGGTTGAAGTGTGGCTGCTCATTACCTCATTAGTGTATGAAGAAAAGGGTCTAGCCCCTCAAGTACAACCTGCCTCTTGTTTATCTTTCTCCTCCACCCAGGTGTTCCTCCATCCCCACTTCCCCAGCTCCACAGATTGGCTCATCTCTGAGGGCCATGGCAGCAGGCTCTGAGCAGGAGTGAAGATTCGTGGGTGGGGGGATCCCCAGCCCCTGGTGTCCTCCTGCTTGGCAGCCTTCTGTTCCCCTCAGTCTAGGCCCCCTCAGCCTGCCATCGGTGTTTGTAGCTTCCAGTCTGACACAGGAGAAGGACAGCGAACAAGCCTCTCACCCGCTGGGAGGTTTGATACAATTGCCACCAGAAGATGCAGGCTGAGGTGGGCAGGGACAAAGGTCCTGCAGAGCCCCTGCCCTTCGTGGTCCTCTCTGGCCCTCGCACCACCCTCTCCTCCCCGCTAGTGCCCTGTGGGCCCACCCACTGACCTCACCAAGTGGGGGAGGCGCGAGGAAGGATCAGCATGTCCTCTTGGAAGCAGCCTCTCTCCAGGCCACGCATCCCTTCTCTGGGCTTCATTCAGGATCTTCCCCTCCTGTGGATTCTTTCACACCCAGCCCTGCCCCTCCAGTTCCTCTCTATCGCGCAACTGGAGGAGACTTTTCAAAGTGCAAATCTCGTCCCATTGCTCCACCACTCCTACCCTCTCCATGACTCCCCATCACCTATGGGAGAAGAGCCAAGAAATCCAAGGCCTGGCCTGCCGTTGGCTGACCTCTAAGCTCCCCTTCCCAGCCCTAACCTCCCATCCCATCTGCTGCCCTTCAAGCCCAACTTGCCTTCTCTGCCTCTGAATCTTTGTTCCCCCTGGGCCGGCCCCCAGCCCTGCGCTGCTCGGCAGACAGGACCCTTTCTCCCTTGGGCCTTTGGGAGAAACTGGCCCCTGGGAATCTGTTGTGGATGCAGTGTCTGCTCAAAGAGCCCCTCCAGCCCTGGTCACCACCAGATGTGGCTTTTAGGAAAATTCTTCGGGTTTGAAAGACTGGAGCAGAGCTCCCGTTTCTGGGAGCCTGGCATGCAGACTAGCAGGCAGTTTCAGGGCAGATGGTGATGTTTGTCTTTAGGACACGTCATCCCCCACCTAAGCTTATGTCTGCTGAGGGGGGGGGCAGCAAAAAGAACTTCTGTCTCCCCACCCTTCTGCCCAAGTTCGACTGCTTGCTCCACCCCAGAGCTTGGGGCAGACAGCCAGCCAGATAGACAAACACATGCATACACACACATACACCAGGGGAAGGGCAGGTTTTCCCCCAGCCTGCCTCAGGAGGGGAGGGAAGGGAAGGTGGGCAGAGGTTTTTTTTCACCAGTAGACCCTGTTGTCTGCACCTCGGGGTATGCTGGTGCCCATCCGGGTACCTTATCTGCCGCTTACGCCTCCACGACACCCTCGGTGGGGAAGGCCTCTCCATCCTCATTCTACAGAGGAGGAAGCTGAGGCTTGGGGAGAACAGGGCCTGGCTGACTCAGACCTTGTGGGCTGTCTCAGAGCCTGTACTCTTGCCTGTGCCACGTGTTGCAGGAGGCTAATGAAGGGAGGGTGGTACCTGGGCATCCAGAGGCAGCCCTCCTGGATAGTTGTCCAACTCCGCCTGCCCCTTCCTGGGATTGGGAAGTGGGTGGCTCCTGGGACAGAGGCCTCTAGAGTGTTCCTCTGTCAGATTCCTGAGGTGCAAGCTTCCTTCCAGGAATGACTCTGCCTGCCCCACCCAGCTGGACTTCCTCTCGATGGCCCACAGCCTCTGTCTGCATCATTTTCCTCATTGGAGGTGGGAGTGTAGGAGGCTCCGCCTGTGGCTGGAAGTTCAAAGCTCAGCCCTGGTGGTGCCCTGCCTCTGCTGTTGCATGGGCAGCTGACACCTCCTCCTTCATTAAGAGAAAGCCCTGGGTTTCCACCTTCCTGCTGAGCCTCCCCAATACCCTGCCCCAAATGACACCCAAAGCACCGGACCAGCCCCATCTCCCAGAACTCTGCGCCGACACTGCTCCACCTCCAGGCCCTTCTCCAGTGTGGTGCTATTGAGGTTCCCAGCAGGAACGTTGGGAAGATTTCATAGAGGTGGTGACCCTTGATCTGCATCCTGAAGGGTGACTGAGAGAATTGTCCATGTGGAGAAGCGGGGCTGGGGGCATTCCAGGAGGAAAAAGTACAAACAAAGGCATGAAGGTGGGTGAGCAGGAGGCAGAATGGAATCAACAGACTGAGCAGCTGGATGAGGGGCTGGGCGTGTGTGTTCCTGGTTCTTTTAAGTACAGACGCCCTTGTGCCCTTGTGCCCCAGCAGACCCCCTGGTTCTTTACTCCAGAACCCTCCACCCGACTTGCTCCACTTGGACATCTTCTGTTAGGAATCTTTGGTCTCTATTCCGGACCACTGGGACTTCAGCTTCATTGCACAACCCTCTCTGCTCACCCCTTCACTCAGCTTGGACAACACCTCCCCATGCCAACCCCTGCCCCACAGAATCACCTCTCTGCTAGGGTATGGGTGTACTGAAAAGGACCAAGACTTTAAGGGAAGGGGAACTGCTGGAGGAGAGATGAGCCTTCATTTCAGCCATTCAATTTGGAGGAGGTTGTAGGAATGCTGTGTAGACAATGCTGGCTGCTCCCTCCCCTAATATCTATTCTCTTTTTCTTCATAATAGAATCTTCTCTTTTCAGCCATGCACATGGCCCTCAGCATAAAGAACAGGCCTACCAGGCTTTCCTGCTGCTAGGTGTGGCTGCTAGTGGATAGAGAGATCCCCAAACTGGAAAGCCCACCAAACCTGTGGGCAAGCCCCTCAGAGGTGTGAGTCCTTGCCCACCGACTGAGAAAGAATTTTTAATAGAGGCAGAGGGACAAAGGGACAAAGGAAGCTGCTTTTTTACTCAGAGAAAGAAGGAAAAAAAACAAAGAAAGCAAGCATTAGTAGGGTGTCGTCAGCCAGGTAGCGGGTCAGGACAGTGCCAGCCCCCAGCTGGGCCACGGGGTCTTATACTGAAAGGTTCTGCCATCTTTAGCTTCATTCCGGTGGTGCCAGTCGTGTTTTGTCATGGGCTCTTTCCTCCCATGGAGCTCAGCCCTAAAACAGAAATGTCGGCGGGAAAAGAGAAAACAAAGAAAGAAATCCTGGGGTGTGTCCTTGGGACTGATGGAGCAGTTGTGGACATAAGATGTCTTGTATGGCAA